TCCTGATCATGTTTTGAGAAAAAATAGGGCTTTACTTTAAACATTTCTGCTAAAAAAATTTAAACATTTTTATTCAAACAAAAGCTCCTTTAAGCAAAACAATAACATATTTAAACCAAAAAATATGTGGTAGAATTACTTCTGTGATTATATGCTTTCAATAAGAATTCTCAGCATAAAAAGCCACAACAAAGTACACACTTCAACTCCACTCTGTAAGAATACACCAGGGCTCTAGGTTCCACACACACACCACTGTTCTGTACAACTTCCTATTTAAATTTAATTTTGAAGGTTTCTAAACCTTTTTCTAAAAACAATTTGTATTGATTACACACCAATTTAGCTGCAATTGGGAAACTTGGGCAAGGTATAGATAGCATAAGTTAATTTGTGAATGATTTTAAAGTACGAATTTGTTTTTGCAATACGTTTTCACACCTGAACTTTTTGCTTTATAAAATCAATGTATATACAAAACCAGCCTTTTTTACAATTGCAACCCATTTTTTTAAATAAATCACAACGTTTTGAAATGTTTGCGAAGTCACCAAGTTTTCCAAAGTCCTAACAATGAAATGAGTTCAACATTTTGTAAATAAAAGAAAATTTCAAAACACAAGCGCTTTCATCTGATCCTTAACTGCCTGTATTTGAAAACATGCTCATCAAATAATGAAATCAAAATCAGCTTCATTCAGTTATTTACATGCTTAAGTACCTGTAGACCTAACTTAACTTTTTCTACCCCTAAAAAAAATCAATCCACCTTTTTCGCATAACGTTTGCTATGACCCCTCGAAAATTTTAAATAATTTTAATAAATATTTCAGTATATTTCATTAATCGATCTTCTCTCCTTCTACAACATTTCCATGCCTTTTTGGCCTTCTTTATTTTTTATTCTTTTTATACTTGTTTTTTTTTTGTTTCTTGTCTCCTTGTTGCCCGTTCATCTCCCCTCCGCAGAGTAATCCCTGTACCTCGGGCTTCCTCAGTCCACCCACATCGGCTAGCCGCCGCCCATCGGTGATGTTCAACGAATATGTGTTACTGCATACACCGCCCGCAATTAGCGAATCGTTAACTGTCGCAAATACAACAACAACGACAAATGTGGTGAAGAGCACAGTGTGCTCGTCGGAGAAGATGACACAGGCCGGTGATGGCAGCATATGGCAGGTGAGTGGCGGGTGGGGAGTTTTCATTTTAAAACTATATTTTATTTTATGAAAACTAGTTTAGGTTAGTTCTTTTATTTTTTTGCCTTGTTTTAATTTTTTAACCACTGCCTCCTCTTTTAACATATTAAATGTTTCAATTCCATTCTGTTCCTCTCATTATGCTTCGCTACTTTTCCGGTTTTTAGTATTTATACGACAATACTTTAAAATCTTACGTTCTTATAACTGTTTCATTTTCGTTAGTGCCGTTCTGTTTCCCGTTGTTCCCATTTTTGTATTCATTCCACCAAAATTTTTTTTATTAAATTGAAATTAGTCTCATTTCACTAATTTTTATTCGATTTTTCTTTCTAATTTATTTTTACTGTGTTCCATTTCCCCTTTGTTCCTTTACTTCCATCCCTTAACATTTCAACGTATGTATATTGAGTCTTATATTAAATTTTTTTAAGACTAGGTATACTTTTTTCAGTATATTCCATATCAATCTTTTACGTTCGTTTTTAATTTGTTCCTTTCGGTTGGTCCAATACTTAAATGCTATAATAAACTGTATGAGACCTCGTACATGTTCTGTTCCTTAACCAACTGTTTATTCGTTACAAGATAATGTTTATTTACTGTGTTAAGTTTGTTTTTATTTCATTTTTCTTTGACTTGTTCTCCCTTATTTTTACTCTGTTCCATTTTCTCTTCATTCCTCTGTTTCGCTTCATCTACTTTGCAAAACATATTTTTGTGTTCCTATAGATATAGTGAAATCTCTGTGTTTAAGTATATTCTATTTCAATTTGTTCCGTTACTTTCCCATTTGTTCCTTTCTTTTGAAGTTTCTTTGAGCACTTTTAATTTAGTGTACGTTTATGAGCTATTCGAATTTGCATGCAATCAATCGAAATTCGAAACAAATATTGTTTCATTTTTTCTCTGTTACATGTCAAATATTTGAAATTTTACTGGATTCCTATAAATTTTCTGATTGACAATTAATGTCTATTCAATCAATTCTAGTTCCATTTCGTTGTATTTAGTCGTTTCATTCGCTTATTTAGTACCTTTATTCCGTTTTGATTGACCAGTTCTCATTTCCTAACTTCCATTCATTTCATTCCCTTGATGTTCATATTCAATCATCAATTTATTTCGCATTTTTTCATTTAATTTCAGCTCATTTAATTTCACTTTCATAATTTCAGCTCACTTCACTTTACTTCACTTTGCTCCATTTTATTTCACTTCGCTTCGCTTCGTTTTAATTCACATTCATTTCAATTCACCCCATTTGGTTTTCCGTTCTCGGTTCTTCAGCCCAAGCCTTTATACAACTATTTCACTCTATCTTTTCCTCTCTCTCTCTCTCTCTTTCACTCTCACCCCATTGCAGGTCAATCTCCCCCAAACGATCAATAGCGGCGGCAGCACCATCGCCAATCCCTACGCCGATTGCTCCGAACTCGGTATACACGACGCGATGACATGTCAAGAGCTTTTAGCATTTTCTGTGGCCTTTTCAGCGGCCCTGCCCACCGGTCAAAGTACACTGGAGTCGTTTTACACCTCGTTAGCGCGCTGCGATCCGCACACCGCCGAAGCTTTGAAAAATCAACATAACCGCCAGCAAACACAGCTTATTAAACAGCAGCCGAATGCATTGGTTATCAGCGATCGCCAGTGTAAACGGCTGGATAATAATAGCACCGCTTTGGCAATCACCAGTAGCGCTGGCAACAACACCGCCATCCCAGCGACGGGCAACTACATCGAAGACTATTCTTGTTGCTATGATTTATATCAGAATGCACTTTCTCCGCTCGGCGAAAAGAAACAACGTTCGAAAGCAATGAAAACGCTGATAAGCATCTATCGCGCCATAAATCGCGTTTGCGGTGTGATGCGACGCTACATAAAGTTGCTGGTAGAGCATAAATACTTTCAACAGGGCATACTATTGGCCATTCTCATCAACACACTCTCCATGGGTATTGAATACCACGAACAGCCGGAGGATTTGACCGCCATTGTGGAGAAGAGCAACATTGCCTTTTCGGCGATATTCGCTGTGGAGATGTTGTTGAAAGTGATCGCCGATGGGCCATTCCGTTACATAGCGAATGGTTTCAATGTGTTCGATGGCGTCATTGTGATACTAAGGTGAGTTGCTGATGAGTTTTAATTGGATCTTCTTTAAAAAAATATCAACCTTAAGTACAAAGCATGCTAATTTCGTGCCAGAATGGTCATTATTAGGTATTAGGTTTGTAGATCATGCAACTAGGTTTTTTCTCTGTCCAATCACTTTACCTCATGATCTATCCAACCCGGATGGTTTCCATAGGACAAGTCGAAGATGGAGTCCCTTGGTTCAGTGCGTCGATTGAGGTCGATTGAGTCCTCAATTAACTTAGCAAGTGTAATGTTAAAATCAGAAATTTGTTCCATTCTGTGAACTAAACACGCCATTTTTCGTAAGTGCATTTAAACTCAGACCAGCCAAGCTTATTGATTTTTGGAAGCTGTAGATTGAACATTATTCATTTGGATATTTATAGTCAAACAGAAACCGGCGAGACGCCTGTCTTTATAGACGAATCCCTATGACCTGATATCGTTCCTTCGATAGTCGGAAGGTACCTTTCGTATTGAGATTGGAAACATTTCCTAGGTTACGAAAGTCCCCTTAGGTCGCAGTGTCTCTGACTATTTTCTGTTAATCCACCTTTAAGATGCGTCTTCAGCATTGTTGAATCACAAATGAACTAAGACGTTCCCGGGTATATGCGGTAGTTCTGTGTACCTGGCCAGTTGCAATTTACTCCAAATAAGTTTCGCAAGTTTTCCATGTAACTCCCAATCACTATCTCCCTAGTTCTTTGAAGGACCGCAACAGTGAAGTTCTATCAAAACGTTGCAAAATTTCGATTTGTTACGCTATGACAAGAACTATCTAGCTAAAGTACGTCTTTTTCCGTGGGATCAGTTCCAATTAATCTTGGGGATATTCCTCTAAATATGTTCCTGTTAGGAACAGACTTATGCAGGCTTAGGACTTCGATTTAATTCTCGTCACAAGATCACATAGAGCGTCATTACAAAGCTGAACCACTGCACTCGACGTTGGACAGACTGACCTTAACGAGTTTAAACGGGAGTCAATCGCCACGTTTGTCAACTCTCTCACAGTGAATGCCGTCAGCGGAGTTCAACCACCTCAAGATTCCTCATAGAGATCAGTGTGAGACTGGCGCAACTAAGATCTGCATACTTTATTAGGCCAAAATCGATCCCCGATATGGCCAACTTATTGCGAGGATGTAAAGTTTCCACTAACGGCCTCCTCACGTGCAACGAACGAGTTATTTGCACGGCTAATAGCACACACAGTCAGCTAAACTAACAGTACATGTAACCGAAAGATATCGAAAAGAGCGAACTCAGCCAATAAGTACATACAGAAAGCCAAGCGCTCTGCGAAATATATTCGTTCACTAACCCTGCACTCACTGCACTTATTTAGCGACTGGTGCGGCATTTACTCCAAGTATCGCCCATTGACGCAAGATATCAGTATTCTCCGTAGATAAATTGGGGAGCGCACGCTGTACTTGGACGAGCGATCCAATTTGTTTAACTACTTATGTAAGAAGAATAGAGGTCACAGGACTAATAGAGGTTCAAGGAAGGGTTATCGCTGCTTATGCAGACGCCCCACTCATATTTCTTCTCTCTAGCCTTGGGAGAACTGTCGTTGCTACTGGACGCCACCAATTTCGGCACCCCGATTTTAGTGAACGAATACGGGGACGGCATTGCCGTACGCTGTGTGCTTCCGCGTAGGTAATGTTAACGAGTAGTTTTCGAAGATTACCAGCGGTGGATTGTCGTAGGTCATCATCATGCAATATTAGTCATCAGAATTAATGAATCGACAAGCGATCAGCGATCCCCGCAAAGTTTTCTGGTGCCAAAAGTGCGTCAAATGAATCTTTCATCGAAGCCTGCAGTAAGTTTTGCCGATGCTGTTGTTGTTTTTATTGTTGTAATAACATACAAGTTCCCCAAAAGATTTTTTGGGAAAGATGCTAGAGTGACAGTCCTTGGTCAGATATGAATATGGGTAATTCCGGTTATGTAGAGCCGACAGTCGCGAGAACGATGCTGTTTATTTAACTGGTTCCACAAGACAATAATCAGGTGCATCCACTGGCTCTCACCAATAGTTGAGCCACCGAAGGTCCATCAATAGATTCACTGCCAACGAGGGCCACCAATACCGAGGTCAGTCGCCATGACTCTCCCTCTTCGCTACTGCCAATTGTCAGCTCGCTCACTGCGCTACAGAGAAAACAAATTCCGATTGCATTCCAAGACGCAATCCAGAGGATCTAATACCTTTGTACGTAGTGGCTAAAACTTTTAAAAATTTCTTTGTTTAGCCACCCAAGGTTTAGTTTTACTTCTGTTGACTACAAATTTTAATTTCTGTTATAGAAAATAGTAGTCCCCTCGAAAAAATACACTTCTCCACCCAACGCTTAGAGTGAACAAATTGAAATAGCATTTTACGTTGCAAAGCTTTTGCATAAATCAACTAAGTTGTGAATGAATTTTCCGACAGCAAATATATGTATATACATACTGCTTTCTATGCTCAACAATAAATTTCATGACTATGCAAATTTGTGGAATTGCCTTCGACACAGGCACCCGCACGCACATAGCATCAGCGAGTAATATTTGCAAGCAATTCACGCCTTAGCGCGCCAAACTAGAACTACCAATACAAACTCACGCGCACAGTTCTACTAACACACTCAAATCACAAATATATGCATTTGAATGCAGCCATGCTGACTGCCGGAAAAGCGCACCATTCCTCTTTTTTTTTGATTTTTTTTTGCGAACGCTGCAATGCATTCTGCTCATGCAAATCCTTGCTACTTTGGCGTGTTGAAGCAGTGATAATTTCACTGTTGACATACGATTGCCGAAGATTTAGATTGCTGTGGTGCGCGGGTAAAAGGGCCGAGTTGCCGTACTTGGGAGGCGGAAGCACAGACACACAGATAATAGCCATGTAACACTTCTCGACGCTTTCACAAGTTGGCTGCCGTGCTTTTATCATCGGCTGGGAGTGTGTGTGTGTGTGTGTGTGTGTGCAACAGGCGAAAAGTAGAAACCAAAAGCAGTCAAAAAACTAGAATAAAAAACCCAGACTGCTAGCGAAGGCATTCAAGCGCCGCTGAATGCGAAAATTGTAATGGAAAGTAGAGGTGGAAGCTGTGTGTGAAATTAGTATTGCTTGCCAAACATATGTACACTTGTATGGATATATGCATATGTGAGTCTATGCGCAGCTGTGTCGCTGCAGTCAACAAGTTGAGAATATGTTGGCGGTTGGCTTCGCTGACGATAAATTGGTGCACGGCATGACAGGCGTCGCCGTACCGCGGTCCTACGACACTACACACTGCCTTGCAGCAACATGTAGATGTTGGCCGCTGTGAGCGTAGGCGACGACATGCTAGTGACCAGGCTAGTTAAGAATGTGGTTGAAGTGGTTTTGTGGTAACCTAAAAATATACATTATTTTCGGCTGCTATGCTTAAGCATACATATGTACGTAGTTATGCATCCATGTAAGTACTACTACTACAGTTCTAAATGGCACGAATTTTTCACATTTCAAATTAACTTTGTATGAATTGTTTGCATAAAGTTGAGCTATGTTTGCTATGAATTGCTTGGTTAGCCACACATGGCGTATGAGCAACATTTGAAAGGAGCAATGTATGAGCCACATGCTTACTTACATACAAACAAATGTACTTCCGCACATGCATTAAATCCACATTACTTTAAGTTAAATACTATAATTATTTTATGAGTTGCATATGTCATACGAGCTAGACGAATTTCATACGTCAGGCAAGGCGTAAAAGTTGCCCAATGCGTATGAGTGATGTATATAGAATAAATGCAGAGGTCACGAAACTGCTTTATGCTGTCTACAGGAAATTAGTTATATTAATTAAATTGCATTTAATCGACCATAGTTCGTATATTCCGGAAATACTTCCCTTACCTAGCCTTCTTTGATGCTAATAAACCAACTTGGTATAAGTTAGATATCAAAAGTGGGTCATGCACCGTTGCCAATTTTCACTATCACACTTTCTGCAGGGGTTTACACTGTCTAGCAGAGGTTTGGGTAAATGTTTGCGCAAAAAATCTTCAACGCATGAAAAGGATTCTAAAATATATGCTTCAATAAAAACATGTATGGTAAAGTTATTTGCAAAGTTGCCATTTTTCTCAAAAGCTCAGATTGGCAGAAGAAGGCAATTAACTTTAAGCATTTCACGGCGAGTAAGGCGCATATAAAAAATATTTTTACTTTATGCACAATTCCACCGATTTCCTCCTAAATATATTGCTACGTTGCCCATTTTTTGCTGCAAGCTTTGTTAAATTGGCGGAGGAATTCCGCAAAAGTTTAGTAAAACGTTGAAAGCTAGAATTGAAGCTTTAGTAATTATATGGTCAGCATTTTACAACGTTGCCGATTTTCAAAAGCGGAGGCTTTCAGTAAAGAGTCCATGAAGTTTGAAAAATTATATCTAAGCCCTAAAGAGAATATTGGTCCTCCTCTTCCATCTGAAAATAAAGGATTTTTTATTTGTTGTACTGCAATTTTTTTCGTAAAATATTGCCGTTTAGACCGAAAGTTATTTCCTTTTCAATTTTAAAAACACATTATCGTAATAATATCGTTTCTTTTATTGAAAAAGAAAATTACAATAAATAAGCGCTTAAAAAATTTGCATTAAAACATCTGAAACGTGACCTATTTTCAGTGACTCACACCCTTAGTAATTCTAAGCCCATGAATGCCGAGGCACATATACTAAACTTGAAAAAAAAAAATTTAAGAAATCATGCGGCATTTTGGAATAAATTGTTTACTGCGTTGCCAATTTTCATTTACACACCCAGTTAATTTAAAATTTTGAAAATATATTTTCGTAAGAATATCGCTTTAAATTAACAGAATTAAAACGATAACTTTAACAATAGAACCTTTGCCACGTTGCCAATTTTCAATAGCTCGGACTGTTATTAAAATTAAATCTATGTTAACTTAATATTATTTGTCAAGCATAAAAATGTGTTGATGGAGGAGTCCAATTTTGTAATATGTTTACTTTTTATGCAACTTTTTGCCAATTGCGATGTTGCCAAATTTTACCAAATTTTTATTCCAACATTTATTTAGTTTAAATATGCAAAAAGAATTTCGAAAAAAAATTTATTTATACTAATAAGTTTTCTGTGGCAAAAATTTAAAGCTTTATAAGTGTCCAAAGAAACATGTTGCTGTGTTGCTGTCGAAAATTTTAATTTAATTAAAAATATAGTTTCGCAGCGCTTACAAAAAAAAGGAAAAATAAAATGTATCTCTTTAAAAAGTTCTTCCGAAAAATTTTTGCAACGTTGCCAGCTTTCACTAGTTCAAACTTTTATTAGAAAGAAATATACATAGTAAAAAATATTAGTAGAGATTATGAAAAATATATTGAAAAGTAGGCCTAAAAGTTTTAATATGAATGCCCCGTTGTCAATTTTCACCTACAAATAATTTTTTGCTCGTTTGTTGTCAAAAGAAACTTGTACGACTTGTTTCAGTTTCATGAAATTTAAATTAATTGTTTGGCAGGATGTGTACAATTTGCAGTGATTCCAACTTAAGGTTAATTCCCTCCCAAACTCCCAAAACTATAAAACCAGAAAGTAAATTTCTAAATATTTTGAATTTAAGAATAAATTCTATAATTCCGGTGATGGTTTTTGGAAAGTTTGCATTTTTCATAGAAATTTGGTAAAAGTACGTTAAAAAATTTACAATTTAATCCGCGTTGAAAGTTTTTTTCATAGTTTACGTAGTCACAAAAGTTACTACGGTAGTCGAAATATTGTTCCAAGTCCATAAAAAAGTTAAGAAATTAAATTCTCATTTTCGTTTTTTTTCAATTTACAATTGTCTGTCTTTTACTCTCACACAACGTCCCATTTAAGTAAACTTTTAATCTAAGCCTGGCATTCGGAGTATAAAAACATATTAATAGCTCGCATTGCATTGTTGCCAATTTTCAGTGTCGTCATTCTTTGCAGCCGGCCTGTTGCCAATTTTCAACAATTCCTTTCTTTACCTTTGTTTGAGCTGTTATATTTCTTTGTTTTTCCCCTTTTTCAGCGTTGTCGAAATTTTCCAACAATTTCACAGTGGAAATGGTAGCAGCGGTGGTAGCTCTGGACTTTCAGTACTACGCACATTTCGCTTGCTGCGCATACTCAAACTCGTGCGTTTCATGCCCAATTTGCGTAGGCAACTATTCGTAATGTTGCGGACCATGGACAATGTGGCTGTGTTCTTTTCGCTGCTTGTGCTCTTCATATTCATATTCAGGTAAGATTTTGTTTCGAATTTAAATCGGAGTATTTTTGCTATAACTTACTTTTAAGGCAAATCGTATTTATTAGTATTAAAAATTCTCGTATTTAGAAACTACTTGTAAATTTAAAGTACGTATATTAATATAAAAAAAAATTAACAATTTTAGAAGTTTAAAGAAAGTTAGGCGACTTTTAGCGAAAGAAATTTGTGAAAGGTATACACCTAATGTGAGGTAACACTGCTTACTAATACACTAAAAATACGCACACTAACTCCAGTTTTTAAATAAAATACTATTTTGTACAGTAAATACTTCAAATCATACCGTTTAGTACATATATTTTCTTCGTACAAATTTCATCAGAATAGTAGTGAGGGATTTTTTCCTACGTATTAGAAAAAATTATCAGAAATAAACAAGCATACATAGAATTCAATCAATAACTAAAGTTTTCGGCCAATCAACTATCCAACCATGCTCTATTATAACATATTAAATATAACTTTCTATAATTTTAGTTTTTTGCCTCCACCCCCCGAAATAAAATATTTACATCTTTCAATCTTACTTGCCTAGTAAAGTATTTGCTCTCTCTCTCTCTCTTACACTAATATTATTAATATTTCCAATCACCCTTGTTAGCATTTGTTACAATCCTAAGTTAACCTATTTTTCTTGTTAAAGCTCCAAAGTGCATTTTCATTTCTAACTTTCAGGAGCAGCCATTCTCAAGCACTAGTTCTCTCAAAAAAAGAGTCTCTCTTTTGCAGTTCTTTCTCCGTAAAGCTTTTAACACTCTCTTCCGTTTTTCAGACTATTTAAAAAAAAAAAAAACATTACTGAAATTTTTTTAATACCTACACATGTATTCATTACTTTTCACATATTTAGCCATAGAAGTTTTGTTTTAAGTTATATCAGATATACATACATATTAGAAGTAAATCAGTTAAGAAGTATACATATGTACATTTAAAAAATTCATTTATGAAATTAGTTTTTAAGCTCAAAATCATCGAAAGACATTCGAAAATAGTTATTGAATCTGCAGTAGCCCTTCATATAATAAACATTGAAAAATTATATTCACCAAAACGCTTTAACTCATTCAAGACACAAACCATTCAAACAAACGCCAAGGCATATACCATTTTTAGTAAACGCCAGCCAAATTTCTTAAGATGTTTAGAACTTTAATTGCTGCCCCAATAGCACATCTGTTCAAGAAATACTTCCAATGCTGCTGTGTTGCCAAATTTCATGAACGCAACACCAATTTTTCAAATGCGCTATTGCCACACTTCATACGAAGAACTTGGCTATGTATCAAATCTATTTAGAATCGCCCAAATAATAAAATTTAAAAGAGCCCTTTCTTCAAAAGCACTGTTGCCAGTTTTCACTCATGGGTCACTTACGAAATAGAGCATTGGAGAAAGCTAATTAATTTATTTAAAGCCAAGGTCTCAGTCCGCTTAAAACATATTTACCATTTTTTAGTTGCCTATTAAATATAGTATTTTTAAAGAGACCGCAACACGTTTGCAGATTCTCGCATTCGAAATGTCGTACGGTAAAAATATTAAGAACAAACAAGGGTAAAAAATAAGTACTACTGCTTAATTTTCCCACGTCCATTAGTATACGCTGTAGCATTGTTGACAATTTTCTTTTAAAGTGGTTGAGCAAGGTTTACCTTTTCATGCTTGACTGATATTATGTGATAGTATAAAGTAATGACAGAAAAATATTTCGATATAAAGCTGCAGGATATTTTATCAAAGTTTCCTCAGGTTTAAGTTAAGAAATCGGGTTAAATACCGGTGTAATGTTGCCAAGTTTCATTGGCTCATTTCTGATTTATATCATAACAATTGGAATAAAAATAACTTTGGCGGTTAAACACAAAAATGATTTCTATACACTTGTTGAATAAAGTTCCCAATTTATTTTTTTATTTTTTTTAGTATAAGTGTGTAGACACTTTTGCCTAACCTCTTAGTAGAGTTCAAGAGATGGTGGCTAAGCCTCGTGCTGAACACCAACTGAACAATGTTGCCAATTTTCTTAAACACTTTTTTAGTATTGGTGATTAAACACTGTTGCCAAATTTCTTCGACGATTTCTTTTTTTTTTGCAACCGAATATTTACTGAACAACATTGCACCAAAGCTTCTTTTTAATATTAGTAGACGAAAGTTAGCTCTCCAGTGGTGGACGCGTTTACATGCGCTCTCTCCGCGAATACAACTAACAACAATTAGGTAAATTTCCACTAAGAAATATCGGCTATAGAAAATTTAAGTTTTTATAGTCAAATTTCTCTGAATTCCCTGCGAGTCTTAAATTTTCAAAAACCATCAGTTTCGCCGTCTTTTACTCTTGAAATCATTAGTACTTCAGTAGTATTTTCTCAGATTATCTCAATATGTTCCACAAATTAATTTTTTTTCAGTGCTGTGTTGCTAATTTTTCTAAAATACTTTCACTTTTTATCAATAAAATTCAATTGAGTTCCACAACATAAATACATACATACGTTAAGGTCTCAAAAGGATAAGAAACTTTCGGAAGAAAGAATTGCTACGTTGCCAAATTTCAGTAGAAAAAACTTAAACCGTAAATGGCAAAATTTTAACTCTGGATAAAATTTAATGCCGCGGAGCTACACAATTTTTCATATTTTCTTCTACAGAAATTTGCACGACAATGATTTGCGATGTTGCCAATTTTCAGCAAAAAAAAATTAAGTTTGTCGAACATAACGAGAATTCATAATGTATTTAAATTGCATAACACTTTCCATGAAAATCTGAATATCTAGAAAAGAATAGGTAAAAATTTGCTTAAAAAAATAATTAATTGAAAATTTTCATTTTCAAGTAGCTCTACAAGCTCATCAGTAAAGGTTTCCGTTATTGAAAGTCAGAACCACACCCTGGAATTTTTCTATTTATTAAAAAATAATGCAATTTTTCCAACTCTTTTCTCTATCAAAATTAAAGAAATTCTAAAACATTATGCCATTCATGATTTGAGAGTGTAGAAAATCATAGTATTCGCTAAAATGAATTTCCTTTTTTTTCAAGATGAAAATATTCTTAATAACGTATTTCAGATAAAGCTTTTTTCATATTTTTTATAAAATCGGTTCTAATTATTTTTTTTGTTAAATATTTTTTAAGCCGAGATTTTTTATTTTTCCTTAAAACAAATATTCATAAGAAAACTAATATTTTAGATCTGTTCTTTTAAAATAAAGAAAAAAGCATAGTTTCTACCTAAAATAAAATATATATTTTACCAAAAATTTAAGTTGTAAAAAAGGTGCGACATACTTTTGATTTTAAGACTGAACATTTGTGTTCGGTTTGATGCAAAGACATCGCAAATTTGAAATTAGAAAATTATTTATAATTTTTTTTTTTCAAACAAACTTGTATTCATGTTCACAGATCTTAAATTTGTTCAGTCTTTATTATACCTCGTTTTCACACTGATTTTTAGTGAAAAGCCCACATCTTCAATCAAACGAAAAATTTTCATACAAATTTTTAGAATGAGAAATTTTTCTACTTTTCTGGGGGGCAAAATTTCCACTTAACTTCTTTAGTAAAACATAACATTTGTTCTTCGATATTTTTTGTTTCTTTTTTCCCACTTAAAATAACTGTATAGCTCATAGTCAAGTAAAATTACATATTTTTTCAATTTTCTTTTTATTTTTAATTTAAATATTTTCCATCTCACGCATTTGCAAATTTTGGTTTTAGTTTCATATTTTCATATCGATTTGAGAAAAAAAAGCCTTCAATTTTCGCAAAGAATTTTCTGCTAAAAATCTCCAATTTTCATTCTAAATAACTTTGAGGCACTTTATGCCACTAATTTTTGTGTAGTTAGTTAAATTTCAAAACATTATGTAAATTTTATTTTCAACAATTTAACTTTTTCAATTTTTATATATTTTTTTCTTTAAAGAATATTTCAATAAAAAAAAAAAACTGATTTTAACTGAAAAGCTTAAGCTTGACCTACATACATCATTTCTCACTTGACATTCCACAAGTGTCGTACATCACGCTCTCAGCTTAATAAAACTGTTCGCTCACGCTCTCTACTCGCTCTGTCACTTTCTTTCTTACCATTCAACAAAAGCTTCTCAGCCAAAGCATTAAAATTTCTTCAAAAAAACAACACAGACTAAATTAGTGCTATAGCATTTATTACATTTGAGTGGTAAAAAATTAGTAAAAAAAATAGTAAAAATATAGAAAATATTTAGTTAGTTTGGCAATCGATGTGTGTACTTTAGTCGAAATAGAATTTAGTGTAACTTCATTTTCTTGCTCATACAGTCAAAAGCTCAGAACCATTCGGAAAGTCAAAAAATAAAAGAATAAAAATTTCAAAATTTCTCTCTCTCTCTCTCTCTCTACACACACTCCTATCTCAACTGCTTTTCAGTACAACTATTCATAGCTGTTACTTTGGGCATTTAAATATTACTACCTACACATACATACACACGATCTATATACCTATTTATGTACGTACGTATATAGTATATATAGTTAATTTGCAGTATATCTTTGCGCCTAATTGTGTAGTTAGTCAAAATGAAATTTCTTGAATTTCGTCAGTTAGTTAGTTTCATTGTTGCCTCTAGTAGTTAGTCGAAAAAAAACAACTTAAAAAAATCAGTAAAAAATATATATTTTTTTTTTTTCAAAAAAAAATTCTATTTGGTATAGATGTTTTAAATTTTTTTTTTAAAATTTGCTTATAAACTACTCGTATCAACAAACAAATTCTCACTTATAAAAAAAAATATTAAACTTGTATTAAAATTTTTTTAAATGCATAGCAAAAAACACGCAAAGTACATCTAAATACATACAAGGCAGCACGCATATTCACAAAAACAAGGAATTCAATGCACTCTCACTTGCATACATATTCACATGCATTGATACGCCCTACAACTCACGCAATTTTTTCACGTACTCAC